TCACCCTCTGAAGTGCAGTGTTCAACAATTTTTGAGTGATGTTAGGTTTACATGAGTCTTGGATGGCGCCAGTCACGATTCACGAATTTAAAGTCTTACCAAGTGATCATAATATGATGTGATAATTTGAACTCATTCGAATCTGATGCTTTTAGACGAGTGAAAGGAATTCGATTGAAAGATCGTCTTTGAAATAAATAAATAATACGATCACTTTGAAGAAGATTCACTCTGAAACTTTGTATATAGATGTGCGTCGCGCATAAACGAATTTGCAGTTAAAATCGATCTGCCTTGCAAGAAGATTTAATAAATAAAGTTATTCATAAATCATAAAGCGCCTTCTTTTAAGATAAATAGCAATATTTAATAAATGAATAATTTAATAATAAATAATATTTAATTAATAAATAATTTAATAAATAAAGTCATAAATCATAAAGAGCCTTCTTTTAAGACAATAGCAATTTCCTTAAAAGAGATTCACCATCGTATATTTATATTCAAACGTCCAAGTAAACGAATTAGCTTGTAAATTTAAAAATATGTTTCAACGTGCATTCTATAAAGACACACGAAAATTTTCTACACGAAATTCCAAATAAATCGGAAATTCAGAGATAAACGTTTCGATGATGGATTAAAAATTTAAGATCTTCGAATGAACAAATTCGTAACATCTTTCACTTTCAAACTGTACAGATATTTCCTTTCACTGAATACGATTCTTCTTTCAATTCGTAAAAGAGATCCATAATAGATCCTCCTCCTAGAGAAAAACTCCAAGAAGCTCCAGCGACCAAGTAACACGATGTCTTCGAATCCAAGATATATCATATTCTTCACGGGAAATTTCTCAATGGGGAACACGTTGTAGCCTCGACGCGCACGCTTCGTCGTGCAACTCGCGTGGAAAATTGATCCGCGCTTAATCCACGCGACGAATTTCGTTCTGGCCTTACGCACGTCGGCCGCATTCCGCCACGAAAGGAATTTCAATTTGTGATACCGTTCCGTTATCACTACTGATTGCCATCGAGTTTGTCGTCTGTCGTTCGAGAAGTTCGACGATTTTCGAGTTGATCCGCGCGACGTTCAGCCTTCGAAACTGATTTGTTAGCGGTTCGTTTTAATGCTTTCGTCTGGATCGCGCGGTAGATGATATGATCGAAACGCTTCTTCTGTCAGAAACATTTCAGATATTTCGTCCGTGAATTTTTATGCAAGTTTCACAAAAGTTTCAATAGTAGAAACGTGTTACATAGTGCTTTGTGTAATGTGAATTGACGGATGTACGCAATTTGCGAATATGAGGGCGAAAAATTGAGAACTGACGTACAAAGAACCTTCCGGTCGTCGTTCATAACGTTTAGTGTGATTTAATGCAGTAGTTCTGTAAGTTTCCAACCAGAGGGATAACTCATATAGAAAGCATTTAGTACGCATACAGAGGAGAATTTTATTTCCTTTTGCAATTTGCTCGGGGATTTCTAAAAAGGTTCACAGAGATTCTTCAAAGGTATCTGATAATTTTAGTAATTTTCTAAAAAATTCCAGCCATAATTTTCACAAAAAATTTCAGTCATAAAGCATCGAATATTTTCCCATTTTGTATTACATTTTAATTCTTCCACTTTCCCAATCTAAAACGTTCAATTTCCAATATTTCCAATATTTCGTTTCTCTTGCGATAGAATATTTTCCATTCACGTGTAAATTCATCATCCTCGGTTGAAAGATCGAAAAACGTAAATTGATAAAAAATTCTGAAATTAGAAGGTTCGAAATTAAAAATTTCGTACTCGATAAACGAAGGGAAGGTACATTCTTAATTTTCCGATGAGAAATTTTAAATCATCGTCCCCCGACTAAAGAATTAATTATACTACTCTCATTTCTTCTTACATCCAACTATAATAAACCTTTCCTTTAAAACTTCGTTCGAGTGCAATTCTCGCGACAAGAGACTCGGAAACGTACTGCTCGAGTGATAAGTAAGAACCTATAATTCGTTTCTCTGTTTCACTCGGTTTAATCGAGTTATCCGTGGCATTTAAATAGACGTTCCAGTGAAAAGAAGCGACGCAAGTTTCTGGTGGCGATCGAACAACGTTAACGTACAGAGGAACGCGAGGAAACAATTGGAGGCCGCGAGAGGAAGTTCTTGGATGGAATAAAGCGAAAAGAATAAAAGGATGATGGCGAGACACGGACAGTTGCCAGCTGAAATTGAATCTTTCTTCTGGAATTTCCGTCACACGAACTGCAAAATTACGAACTATGGCCGTCACCTTTGTCTCCCGTTTCTATCCGCTCGTTTCAGTTTCAGTGTCGCGACCCTGAGAGGCTTTCATTCACTCTATATATCCTGCTGAATGAATTAAAGTTGCGTGATATATATACATATGTGCAATGTGAAACATGTCGCGTCACCAGACTGCTATTTTTCAGACGAAGGATTAGAGAATCGTGATAACTGGAGCAATGATTAATAGATCGCGGATTTTTGCACATTTAAAAATATGGAATATATTATAGAAAAACATGTAGACTCGTTACAGATATATATGGATTTCTATGCAAATCCATATTTTTGAAACTATGATACGAAAATTGAAACGTTGGTAGAAAATTGTTTTACGTTACAGAAAGTATATTATTTACCAGATTGCGAAGTTTTGAAGTTTTGATGACCGTAACTGCGGAAACGGAACTTAAATGGAAAATTCCTTCTTCTACATTTTATTATAATTCAAATTTTTTATAACAGCATAAAGATCCGCAGTCTATTGCACAAGTAAATTCTACATTTTATCATTTTCTAATGAATATCTAAATAATCTATAATTTCTAAGTAACCTATAACTTCTCCTTAATTTTGTCAAATGATGGAAATTATTTCAATGAAAATCAAGTCAAATTTAACCGCGATATTAAAAACAGTCGCGATAGGAAGATTAAAACGTGAAAATTCATTACTATCTCTCCGAACTAGACATTTATAATTTCCAATTTCGCGCACCTTCTGCGAGTTTTTCCCGCTTCGTGCCGTCTGCATAAGTCGTTGAGGATTCTTTTTAACGTTTATTTTCGCTTGTTAGACGGTATTCGTGAAATTAAAAAATAATCCAGCGGGTACGGTGTACCCGGAGAGACGCACCGGTTTCCTTGTGTTTCAACGGAATGCTTAACTACATTAGACGATATCCCCGGGTAAAATTCGGGATCCAACGGAATTCCTTGCGAAATTAAGGCGAGACTCCGCGAAAGCAAGTTCCTTGCGTGGAGTGCGAGCGAAAAAGCGTGGAGTTCGGGATGTAGCGACTAACGACGTTAACACGTTGCAAACGAGCCCGTCGGGGAGCATTATCTAAACGAACAATTTATCTTCCGGGAACGTAGATAAATTGCTGTTTATTGCCACGGAAGGGACCCTTATAGATTACAATTTCTGCAATCCTTGCGCCGTGGCACACGAAATCGGGATTATTTAAAGCTGTCACTGATGCAAGCTAAGCTAATTAAATTATTAACATAAAATATTTTATAATTAATAATATAAAATTTAATTATTAATTATTATATATTATATATATATATATATTAATTTAATTATTAAAATTATTAATATAAAATTCGTTCGCTCGTTCTTTCTAACTGATTACAGTGTGATATAGTTTTATTATATTAATTTGCAGAAATCCATAAATTTCCTTTTTCCGAGATTTTCGATTCAAATAACTTTCACCCTCATTATAGTAAGCAGTAAGAGAATAAAATATCTCCCTGTATCTTTTGTTCGTCTTCATCTCTGTGTTTTATCTTGTCTCATTAAGAAGTTAACGAAAATAGAGATTTGTCATCGATAAATAATATGAGAACCTAACCACCGAAGATATCAAGCATCAAATATAAGGTCTTATAAGGAAAAGTTTAAGACGGAGAAGATGCACATGAAATTGCACGAACCAAATATTTTAATAAAAATTTGAACGTCAAATTATCAGATTCAATACGTTTCAATCCATGTAAAATAATACTCTAATTAAAATAATTATTGTAATTAAACTTTCGATAATATTTTGATTCATTTTTTATGGTGTACATCTACGAATGGTAGATTGTGTCTTCTATTAATGTAGCTTATATGCTTATATTAATGTAGCTTATTATCAGTATCAATTTTCACTTCGTTAGGTCGAGATGCCGAATTTTGTAGAAAATTAACTATAACTCAATGTTCGTTCATAATTCATTCTTTCATAGTAAAACAGTAAGAGAAAGAGTATCGACCATATCAAACAGGAATTAATCTCTAAGCCAATGTTTTCATATTTCAATTAATCCATCAGCACTTCTAATCACTGTCAGTGGCTTCTTTAAATTCAATAAAATATTACTCGACAGTAATTTGGCTCACAAAATTCGTTACAAAATTACAAAATTACAAAATTGCAAATTTACAAAATTACAAGATTGCAAAGTTACAATGTTACAAAGTTACAAAATTGCAAAGTTACAAAGTCACAAAGTTACAAAATTGCAAAGTTACCAAGTTACAAAGTTACAAAATTAGAAAATTGCAAAGTTACAAAATTACAAGATTGCAAAGTTACAAAGTTACAAAGTTACAAAATCGCAAAGTTACAAAGTCACAAAGTTACAAAATTGCAAAGTTACCAAGTTACAAAGTTACAAAATTAGAAAATTGCAAAGTTACAAAATTACAAGATTGCAAAGTTACAAAGTTACAAAGTTACAAAATCGCAAAGTTACAAAGTCACAAAGTTACAAAATTGCAAAGTTACCAAGTTACAAAGTTACAAAATTAGAAAATTGCAAAGTTACAAAGTTGAAAAAATGTTAAATGTAATTTTACACGTCTGTGAACACGTTGCGCGTCAACGATTTCTCGTGATCGCGAGAGCAAGAAAGACTCGGGTTTTCATCGATATCAACGACAACAAGCCAGTAAGTAGATCTCGAATTTTTGGACTTACTCAACCATGTCGGACTCCTTGGCGACACGACAGTGAACACCACGATCCACCAGACATTTCCCGCTCACAGGATCCGGCGGCGCGAGATTGATGTAAGGCGGCTCCTCCAAGAACGTTATTTTCAAATAAAACTTCTCCGGCACGCCTTGCGGTGGTGTGTGGGTGTTCCCTGGCCAGACAATGTCCTTGATGTCCAGACCTTCCTTTTCCCAGGACTTCCACACGCCGATCTGTTGGCACAAATGAAACGAAACGACTGTCAAATCAGAGGGGTCCTTCTCGTTTTGATAAATGAATCAACGCGGACACCGGCGTCGAGCGTTTCTCTTAATGCGACGTTCATTTCTCATCGTACTTGCGTAATTGGCGCGACAGCGAGATATTTCTTGTTATTTAGCGATGTCAGAAACGCATTAGCTCCTTAGACTGTGTCTTTGATTGATCTAAGGAAAGAAATCTGGATGTGGATTGTTTTTCTTTATCATGAAATCACACAACACTGGACTGTGAACTTGCTTATGCAGTGACTGGAAAAATTGATTGAATTATTTTTAATTTTCATTCAATGAAAATAATCTTGAAATTATTTTCGAAAATAATGTTTACATGTCAAATATCTCTACTAGAGATAATATCGTTTGAGATCTGAATGCGTATTATCAATTTTTCGAGCCACTGTACATTTTCATTGGGTTTGTCATCATTTTCAGTAGGCTAAAAAAATTTCTACGTAGATTCTACTTCTTTATTAACGATTGAAAATAATAATATGAATTTCTTTGCGACTTTTTTTATTTCTATTTTAACTCATTATCGTTTGTCATTTAATGAAAGAATAAAGGAGCTTTTCACTTTTTCAAAACTTTATATTTAAAATTGTGTTTCACACCCTTTCGTATTTTTCAGTTAGAATGAACTAGTTGAATAATCGAGTAATCGAGTCGATAACTTCAGGTTCCACGTTTCAAATTTCGATCGAAACAATTTGTCACATATCATTTTCTTTTACAAAACATTAGCAACAATAATAAATATAGCAAACAAATGGCCATAGGAGTTATTTATGCTGTCCGCTATAATTTCTGCGTACAAATACACAACGAGAATTGTTACGTTATTTCAACATCGAGCTAACTGCGAGAAACAATGCAACATTATTGAAGAATATTGTCCGTGGTGTAACACGTGTCAACATTATCATAATTCCGTTATGTGAAAATAAGAGTGATGTATAATTAACAACTCGGATATAATTAGAAAGTTTCGTTTCACATTCATTACCACATTACAGCCGCATGAAGAGCATGAATGTACTAATAAAAATAAAAAATTCTTGATAAGTTAAACTAATGTAACTTCGTAAAAGAAGATCACATAACGTGATCTATTTTCGCAAAATTATATTAGTTTAAATTATCCACCAATTTTTCATTGTCATCGGCACAATTACACTCTTTCAATATTTTGTTCTTTCACATTATCAAAACACGATCCATTTAATTCAATCCTCATAGTTTTGTACATTTATCTTCCACTTGACGAACGAAAACAGTTTGATAATGTTTCAAGATATAGAAAATGTAATCCAAGAAATCACGCGTGTTAATAAGAATTATTTCATATTTTATTTGCACTTCGGATGTCCTTAAACGTTAATAAAAAAACATAATTTGATTAAAAGTGATGGAAAGGACGAGTTAACTTGTCATCGTGAAATGAATCGAACTATCGAGATTTTCCAATCTCTTCGAAATTTCCTAAACTTCAGCTTTGGTTTGCGATTTACCGGAACGCGACACAATTCTCATAAAATATTCCCCGTTTATTGTCAAATTACGCTGAAATGTTTGAAATGGACGTGTATTTCGGTCGAATTCGCTGCAAGTGGCTGACGCAAATATTTATCAGTTTTCGAAATTTTCCGAGATATTTGTTTCCCCTGGCCGTGGAAAATCGATGCCACTTTATTTGCTTCCTACGGGGCTGTATTTTTCCTCCGCGAAGTATTAAAGAGCATCAACGCTGACGGTGTTAATAATCTGTAAAGTCAATTCTAGTTACAATTTAGTTGGCAGGATATATTTTAAACATAAACGGAAACACATTTTTCCAACCTTTTAGCTTATATATATCTATTAGAAATGAATTTTTCGCGCGTGACAGCAATAAAAAAAAAAAAGAATTCGTCGATTTGAGAACGTCACGAAAACTTTGAGCTCGTATATTACAAATTTCGAGCGTGATGAGCTCCATTCATTTCAAAGTTATCAATTATCCATCAACTTGCCGAAGCTGCACAGTAACAAAGGCAATAAAATAGTACTATTTTCATTAACAACGTGATTCGAGTTCCAGTCACCACAATTTCTAGTCAGTTAACTATTTACAATACTTATTTACTCCGTGCTTTTATATAAAGACGAATATGAGTATTTCTCTATGAAGGTAAACACGAAAATTTCCCCAGAGACTAAAACACACACACACACACACACACACACACACACACACACAGAAAGAGTAATATTTTAAAGACTCTGATATTTCCAGTGTTCTAATTAACACAAATGCACGACAAGATCGTAATGAACATACGTAATATGCATGTATCGTTCAACCTTCGAGCTGAATACGCGAAAGCGCTATGAATACGAAACAGGCGGATGCGTATTAAAAATAGACAGACCGTGATCGACCGATATCGTTTCTCGCCAGATCCTGCCGAATTTCCATGGGATTTATTTAACGGTGGCTCGAACGAAATCGCCCCTACCGTCCGGGAGATTTCTCTTTAAAGGGATCAGCCCATGAACGTAAACGTCATATATTTTCCGCGCGTCGAACGACAACAGCCACGAGCGCAGAGTGCCGTGCGGAATTTTCGAAGCGGCAGCTTCACGGCCGGCGGGCAAAGTGGAAGGAAAATTGCGAACCGGGCGAAAAATAGAGCGTCTGCAAGTTCATCGCCGTTACGAATATGTAATAGGACGAGGGAAGAGCGCGTCTCCTGTGTACCATCGGCCGACATTCGAATATTGGAATCCGATACAGATACAGGTCGAACGTGTCGCGATGAAAATTCATTCGCGCCCCGCCCTTGTCTCTCCGCGCGTCTCTCTCTCTCTCGTCGTCGGCGATTTCAAGGGAGAATCGCAATTTTTCAACTACTTTCGGGTCGCGCGAAGGACCCGATTCACCCCCGTTACATTTTGATTAACGTCGTGACCATCGGCGACTAAAGTGTGGAACGCGTATCGAAAATGTCGAAACGAGAAAAAAAAAAAAAAAAATAGGCTTCCTCTCAAAAAGTATGCAGAGTATTCGGCAATGAGTGGTGCAAGAATTTCAAGAGCAATTGGAATTTAATAGACATTCGAGGGGATAGTGAAAATCGATACTTGTTTTAGTACAGTTTGACAAAAGTTAAAGTGAAAATTTGATTAAAGTTAAAAGGGAGCCAGATTAAAAGGAAAAAGTTCAATTTAGATATTCCTGCGTTTCATTGGTAAAGTGATACAAAGATTAAATAAGTAAATTACATATGGATTTTGTTGTTTCAATAATTTGACACAGTAGAAAAGGATTAATTAATTTTTTTTTTTTTTACATCAAGTACATAGATAAAATCTAAAATGATAGAAAATTATCTGATTACTTCAATGTAATAATTTTATCGCAATGGAAAAAAATTGATTAATTGCTTATGCAATTACGTACATCTAAGATGATCAAAGATGGAATGAGGGAATTAATTGTAATTTTATAGTTTACAAAATACAGTGAAAGAGAAAGAAGATTACCGTGTTGCATGAATGTTAAAATTATTTACTGTATAAAGTAATAAAGATTTAACAAGTTTCTCTACATAAAAAGATATACAGACGACGTAAGAAACAGAAGACAGTGATTCTCAAATCCAACATACAGATTACTCCAATAAATTAATTCAACAGATTACTTTTTACAAGTGATGGCAAAGAAGATTATGAGATACAACTTAATAAAACTATTCGAAAAATCGAAGATGAAAAACTTCTACTTGTCTAGAAACAGAAATAAGACAATCAGAATCAGTAAAAGACTATTAGAATCTACCATCTGAAATGTTCGAGTAATATCTCTTTCAATTCATAAATTTTTGGAAGAATTTTAAGTCCAACGATTTTAAATTTAACTTTCAAAAACACGTGGATGTTATTAAAAATAACGACACCATGTTATTAAAAATGCACGTAAAATGTAAAAGCACATTTGTATACGTTGAATGTTACCTGTATGTGAAACATACATTACAATATAATTATGTTTATAATTAAAACATTTTTGTGCATTTGACAGCTGTACGATACAAAGAAGATTATTATTCTGTTTTTTTTTTCTTCATATCAACTGTGCTTCAGCATTTAATTATCTGGATGATCAAAATACACTTAACGTGCGTTCAAAAGTTGGGATGAAAAGTAAGAATTATTCGTACACCAAAAGCGATCAGATTTCATTCCAACTTAGCGCGTTGTTCAATTTTCAATAATTCCATTCCATAATAATATATTTCACGAATCTCAATTGACTGAAAATTAAAATACTCGCCTATAATTATTTCATTCTGTCGTGAATCACTGATACAAACTGATTTCGTACGTTACTTCATTATCATGAATAAATATCTACGAAAATCAGAAGTATGTATCGTACCGACCAATACAATCGCACGCTTGAAACAATACTTTTCACGTCGAAATTGAGATTACAAACCAAACGAAGGTGCGCGCCATTTTGAATTTGCAGCGTGAGATGCTCAGCTCCAGCGGCCAACGAGATTAATGGAAATGATGTTGTACTGAAAGGAGAAACTCGCAATACAGGCAAGTAATGTTTTCTGTCAACCAAGTTATTGAGTCGGCGTGGAAATAACAGGAAATGCTACTGCACAGTCGCCGCCTGATGATTAATGCAGTGAACTGCCCTTCGCGAATATCATTCCACCTACTCTTCATCGGGACACATGGGACCAATTCCTCTTGTTTCTTGGTACGCCACCGTTCGAAATACGCGTCTGAATAATTCTGTTTATCGCTTACACTTGTCTGGTTAACCGCTTTGCAAACGGAATGATAAGATAGTTTTAGGATTGACGTGTTAAATATAATATTTTACTATTGCTTTATTTTCATTCATTTTTATTTATTCAACACGTTAAACGGCCACCGATATTCATCTGACGATGAAA